ACCCTGGCCAGGTTGAAAAAAGACATTTTTAAAACAATTTTCAGTGCAGGCTTTTTCACCGTCTCAGTCAACTTCACCACGTGTGGAGAAGCGGGTGTCCTTCACCCTGCAGGCAGGCACTGCTCGACTGAGGGCCCTGGCAGAGGTGGGAGCCCAGCGGGCAGCGCAGCGCAGCGCAGAGGGCCCGGGCAGAGTCCCAGCACTGACTGAATCCCAGTGCTGCCACATCACCACAGTGAAGCTCGGGGGTGACTTACCTCTCAGAACCTCATTTCCAAAGTGGAGATGATACTCACCGCACTAGCCTTTGTGGGGATTGAATGAAGCCGTCGGCCTGCAGGCTCCCTCTCAGCAGTGTGCGCTTTGAGACACTCATTTCATCTGGGTCCTTTCTGCATCACGTAGACAACTACTGTGCCTTATACAACCAAGCACAATTTTCCAACCATTAACTTTAGACCTTTAAAACAAGAAGTATGGGAGTTCACAGGACGTCATTAACATCAGCCCTGGCAATGACCGTCTTCGTGGCATGCAGCCAGCCAACCCAGCCATGGACACACACCGGCTACTCTGCTTTCTCACTTTCAGAACCCTCTTCCATTAGCCCATACCACACCCAGCTATTCAGCATCTTAGGTGGTTTTTCCAGGTTCCCTAAAATGCCCTCTTTCTCAAAATTTCCTTTCTTTCTATTCCTACTTTTTAAAATACCTGGGAAACTGATCTTAGGTAGGAGATTACAGCAGTTCATCCCAAGTTATCTGTGACTGACAAGGATAATCGTTCTCCTTTGAGGTTCATCCATATCTTTAAACCTCTTTCTCAATGATTGATCAGTAGCCTGCAACTATAGGTGGTATATTTTGATATTTCTGACATCAGCAGCAAAAAGCAAAAGCCAAAATAAGGTGTAATTTCTGTTAACATTTTAATTCCATTTAAAAGTTGTTGATACATTTTCAATTCTGTAACATGATACACAAGGCCCCTGTAGATCTGCTCCTGCTTATCTCCACCCTCATCTCCAACTCAGTGTCTGGCCCCACCAGCAGTCTCCTGCCTGCCCCACACTTCTAGTCTCTTCCAGTGCAAGTAACTCTCTTCCCGTTGCCCAACTCCCACACTTGACCAATTAGAAGAGAGAGTAACAACTAAATGGAGCCTCAGGTCTCTCTGTGTTTGCAGGGCCCATCCATGTATCAGTTATTACAGCTCTTTATTTCTCAGTGTTGTCTTTCTTACACTCTGAACCATTGAGAGCAGAGACAGCACCTGTACTGTCACTTCCCTGGGGCTTGGGACTCAGTAGGTGACCAGGTAGTCATTAAATACTGAAGCTGTGCCATTCTCTCCAACATGCAGATAAGGTCCCAGTGGGCCTGGACGAGGATGCTGGCTGTTGGGTAGTGACACAAAGGGAGCGAATGTTTTTTAAAAAAATATGTTTTATTGCCCTAACAGGTTTGGCTCAGTGGATAGAGCATCGGCCTGCGGACTCAAGGGTCCCAGGTTCGATTCCGGTCAAGGGCATGTACCTTAGTTGCGGGCACATCTCCAGTGGGGAGTGTGCAGGAGGCAGCTGATCGATGTTTCTCTCTCATTGATGTTTCTATCTCTCTATCCCTCTCCCTTCCTTTCTGTAAAAAATCAATAAAATATATTTTAAAAATTATGTTTTATTGATTTTTAGAGAGAGAGGAAGGGAGAGGGATAGAGAGATAGAAACATCGATGAGAGAGGAACATCATCTATCAGCTGCCTCCTGCACACCCCCTACTGGTGATCGAGCCCACAACCTAGGCATGTGCTTTGACCCAGAATCAATCAGTGACCTCTTGGTTCCTAGGTGGACACTCAACTGCTGAGTCACACCATCCGGGCGGGAGCGAACCTTTTTGCATGAGGACAGAACTTGGGTTACCTGCCTTGACCATTGTGTGAAGTTGAAGGCACAGGTTGAGGGAGCAGTTGACTCTGAGGTAGGAAGGTATGGTCACTCCTTTTTGGTGAGTGATGTCCCTTGTACCTTCCACTCAGAGGTAGCTTTGAGGAGAAGGGATGTCTCACTGCGAGGACTAGTCTCTCCGGTGGAGAGAAGACACTGTGCCGAGGTCTGGACCATGGAGAAGATCTTCCTGAGGCTATATTCCATAAGGCTGAGCATGTGCAGGAAGGAAAAGATGGTGCTATTACCTTCTGCCAAAGTCTTAAAGCAGGGTTCTCTTCAGAGCGATGCCACTAGTGTTTAAGTGAAACGGAACCACACCTCGCCCATTTCCCCCCATCCACTTCTTGGGTTTGTCATTGGTAGAACTGGAATAGAATCGAACAGTTCAAGCTAAGACATAAAGATACACTTTTTAAAATTGTGATAAAATATAAATAAAATAAAATTGACCACTTTAACCATTTTAAGTGTACAGTTCTGTTGCATTAAGTACATTGACAATGTTGTGTACCAATCACCACCATCCATGTCCAGAACCTTTTCATCTTCCAACACTGAATGTCTGTCCCCATTAAATGCTCACTCCTCATTTCCCCCTCAGGCCCTGGCAACCACCATTCTGTCTCTATAACTTCTCTGGGCACCTCATCTCAGTGGGACCATGCAGGATTTGGCCTTTTGTACCTGGCTTACGTCATTTAGCTCATCCATGTTGTAGCAGGTGTCAGAATTTTCTTCCTTTTTAAGGGTGAATAATTTTCCACTGTATGTATGTATCACATGTTGTTTATTTGTCTATCTGTCAATGGACTCTTGGGTTGCTCCTACATTTTCGGCTGTTGTGAACAGTGATGCTGTGAACATGGGTGTACCTATATCTGCTCTCGTCTCTGCTCTCCCTTTTGGGGGGTATGTAGGCCACTTTGTAAGCAATTTCCTAGAGTACGTAAGTGCCCTGGACTTGGGCTGACTGAGTGACCTCCTGCTGAGAGGCGAGGACCTGCAGTGCAGTTACATTTCTTCCCCAGAAGTCTGAATGTGACACAGTGATTCCTTTCTGTTGTGGTTGACCTTCTGCATATCATTTCCTACGAGTATTTGATATTTGTCCATCTGTTACTAATTAGCCCTTATAACGTCTGTGAAGACGGAAATATATTTATCATTTTTATTTTCTCTGATCAAAGGTAGGAAAAAGATTCCTTTACTTACTTGGGTTACTCTTTGATATTCATGAATAGCAGCCTTTCTCCCTTATGTAGATTGCCAGAGGTGACAGGACTCAAATCCCAAGATTGTCGTGTGTTATAATTTGCATTGTGATCGCTCATATTCTGCAGAAATAGACCTTGTAAAGTGTGTTGTGGGGGAGATGGTTTCCAAGGTCAAATAGTTTTGGGGAGGATGAGTGTAGAGTCCCCTTTGCAGGATTCATGACACCCATTGACATAGTCAGGGCTGCTAGGTGCCCTGTTGTCAGTGATGTTTCCGCGGTGACTGGACAGTTGGTCACTTTTTGAGATGAACACCTGTGGCTGCCCTTTCAGTCTGCTGCCTGGAGAATGTGCTTTGGCTGCTCATGTGGACGTGAGTCTGTCTTAAAGATGCAGCCACACGGGCACAGTCCGGAGGAATGGTTTTGTGTATGGACCACTCATTTCATCTTGTCTTTCGCTCGTTTGCTTAGAGAGAGGAGAAAGAGTGGGAATGCTGAATGGAGGACTTGGTGGTCCCTGAAAAGCTTTGTAAAGTCTGCTCTGTTGAGTCAGTGGTTAATGGGAAGCCATGTTTTGGATAGTCTGTGAATTATACCTCCTCAGGGCGTGCCTTAGGGCTGGGATGGAACTCAGGTGCCCTGGCTTAGCTGAACAAGGCTAGGCCCTCAGGACCACGAACACTGACAGAAAATTAACACGTAGCAGAAGGACCACGGAAGCAGAACAACTGCTTCTCCTGTTCCTCAGAAGGGCTTCCCCGCCTGGTTCCTAAGTGCTGTGATCCCAGACGCGTCAGCAGCAGGAGGATGTCCTTCCTGAGCTGGTCGTCGGAGGCCGGCCATCCTGCCACCGGAGGGTGGGCGGGCCGGGCAGCACAGCTGAGGACTGCTCGGGAGACGCCCAAGGACTCCCACTTGGCGGCTTTGCAGCTGCTCTGGCTTGAAAGGGTCTCTGCCCCCGTTTCTCTCTCTTCTTGCTGAGGTTCAGATTGTCTAGTATGTTCTCCATGTCTATTTCCCACACGTCTGGCCACATCCTGTGTGGGCTCCTGGGGTCTGTCCCAGGAGAATTGGTTCACAGTAGCGAGCAGTACTTTTCAGGGGGATGGTCTGGCATTGGTTGAAGAATACGTTTGAGTTGTATTTGAGGAAATACCTTGGCGAGCTACCTATCAGTTCGCATGTCGCCAGGATGTCAGAGGCACCCCGAGTGGAAGGGGGGGCCCTTTCCTCGGTCACTGCCCTGGGGCTCGGCTGCCCCTTCTCCCATCCTGTGGACTGTGCTGCACACTAGTGCTTTCTGCGGGAGCAAACGGCACAGCCACACTTCGCTGTCACATCGTCAGGTGGGCACAGTGTTTTTAGGAGATTGATAGTTCAAGAAAAAAACGTAAACACCCTTTTGGGTATAGGGTGTTGTTAGCTTTTGAGAACAAACCTACTTCTTTTCCTTTTGATCAGAGAAATAGTATGTTGAATGAATGAATAATGGTGGGCCGTCTGGGCGATGGCTCTGTGCTGCTATCCTCCGTGGGCTGCTGGAGGTCAAAGCGAAGGGCATTGCAGCCCACGCAGGTGAAGGACGCAGAAGGCGTGGAGAACCCCTCCGGCGCCCCCTGGCTGTGATTGCAGCAGCACCCCTGGGCACCTCTGTCCCGCCTCCACCGTTTCTGTTCTGGTGCTGGCTATGCAGACAGGACGTACAACTAGTTGAATACCCCTTCGCTTGGAGCAGTCAGGGATAAGGCTCAATGAATAATGCAGACTCTCAATGTCAAAACCCTTTTGAAAACAGTTTTATTATTCTAACAGTCAAACTTTACTTTCCAACAGACTTAATCCCCCAAGGAGCTGCTTAAATGGATGACAAAATTAATGAATCATAATAACCTGTGCCAGTTACCACGCGAAGCACGTTCTTCACATTACTTTGGACTCATAGAAAACCTATATGATAGGTTTTGTGACTCCTCTATCACAGCTATTGCAACTGAGGTCCCAGGCGGTGAAATACTTACCTGGTCATAGGACTGCCAAGGGAAAATGCCCAAGCTCCGACACTCAGTCCATCTGGGTCGGAATCTGCACTCTCACCACCATGCCCAGCTGCCCCCACAGTTGCATCTGGGTCCTGGGCTCCACTCCCTGGTCAGTCCCAAGATTCCAGGCCCTCTCCAGGCTCTTGTTTATCGATGACACCCTTCCTCAGAGGTGGTGGTGAAGTACAGTCCAGCACAAGTGCAATGAAGACAAAGACCAAATGGGTAAAAGTTCAAGAAATTGTGCTGCCCTCGTGCGAGCCCACCTGTTGAGTTCGGTGGACCAGGTGCAGCCCTGGGCCCTGTGAAATGTGCTGCAGCGGGTAGGTGCTGGCTGTCTTCAGGGAAAACTAGAAGTTGTACGGTTTCCGGTTTGAGCTGGACAAGGCAGACAACATTTGTTTGAAGAGGCCATTTTACTTCATATCATTCTTGTCCTTTCAAGATGGTTAGACCGGTTGGGACAGGAGGAAAACTGGTTTGGCTTCTCAGTTATTCTGATTCATAAATTATAAAAGGGATGAGTATTTGACAGGAAGCCTGAGTTGGTCTCAATTAAAATGTTGAGTTGATTTTTAAAAAAACCTTTATGTTGTAAGCATTTTGGCCTAGAATGAAGGCAGACAGAATGACCGCGAGGTTAGGACTTGGATGTTCACCTTATCGTCTTGCTCGGCAGTAATTGACTCGCGAGGCTGGCGGGGAGAGCCTCGTGTTCCTGTGCATCAGGGTGCCCTGTCCGGAGATGAGGTTTTCCATGGGAGCTGGGATGGAGCGACTGAGACAGGGGAGACTGGGCTCTGCCCACGCTTGGCTCAGCGGCATGCTTTGTTAGTTTGAGTGACACGTCACCTCTCTGGGCTTCAGGTTCCTCATTTTTAAAATTAGGAGGTTGACCTTGACTTTTTCCAGCTTTTCAATAAAATTCTATGAAAAATAAGAGACTGTGATATTTTTTCACAGGTACTTTACAAGTCATTTTTGTTTGGTCACATAACCATGAAATAACAGCAAAGCCTGTCCCAGTTCCATAACACTGTGCCTCCCTATACATGGAGTGTATCGAATACCTGGAGACAAATGCTGTGAGCTGTGACAATTTAACATAAAGCAGAGAATTGTTTCTATTTGCATGAGCTAGGGCTGTTTCTGTGAGTTTATTGGGGGTGCTGGTAGTAAAGAACATGAGTTTTAATCAGACCTGGATTTATAATCTACTTAAGCCATTTGACCTTGGACTAGTTGCTTCAGCCTCAGTTTCTTCACCTATAAAATGGACACTGGTAATAATGCCCTTGTCATAGGCCTGTTGTGATGGCAGAATGAGAGAGCTTAGTCAAAATAGCTAGAAGACCATGGTAGTACTTAACAAATCTTAGTTTCCTTTCTTCTTAGAACAATGCCTAATTTATATAATAGATTTGTTTTATTAAGAGAGAATTATTCATTGTTTTAAATAAATTTCTCTATACCCAATATTCTGTTGGCTTTTATAATAAAACTAGAGTTATTTTCCTCTGGGGGAAAATTACCAGTAGTGAAAAGTTTGGCGGAAACATTTAAAAACTATATTGCCTATATAAATTTTGTATAATAATTATGTATGAATTATTTAAATTAAATTATAATCACAGAGAACAAAGGATTAAGAAGGTACTTGGCACAGTGAACACAAGCAGACACAAAGAGCATTTGATTTCTGGGAGTGACAGTTTCTACAGGACGCTATCCCTTCCTTTGCACCTCCTCATTCCAGGTACTAGCTTAGGGACTAGGGATATAGAAATCAGACAAGGTCCCTTTCTTTGAGGAATGTGACTGCTGGGTTGAAAAACTTCCTATGAAGGGTCAAAGAGTAAATGTTTTTGGCTTCTTAGGCCATATTATCTGTGTAACTCTACCTAAGCAGTTGTGGTGCATAAGCAGTCAGGGACAATACGAAATGAATGAGTGTGGCTGTGTTCCAATAAAACTTTATTTACAAAACAGGGGGCAGGGCCCTGTTTGGCCTGCAGACTGTAGTTTACTAACCTCCCGAGCCAGTGAAAGACTTGTACATAGCCAGCAATCTACACTAATAAAAGAGAAATATGTAAATTGGTCATCACTCCGCCAATCAGGATGAGTATGCAAATTAACCCAACAAAGATGGCGGGTTAATTTGCATACGCAGGTGCCGAGCGAAGACTGAAGACTGAAGAGGCTTGGCTTCTCCGCTGCGGCTGGAGCGGAGAAGCCAAGCCTCGCTGCGGCCGGAGCAGAGAAGCCTAGCCTCGAGGCTTGGCTTCTCTGCTGCGGCTGGACCAAAGGCCAGACCAAAGACCTGGGTCCCGGGTGCTGGAGGAAAAACGGTGCCGGCAGCCAGGGAAAGAAGGCCTATTGCGCAAATCTTCATGCAATGGGCCTCTAGTTATAGTATATTGTGATAAATAGTCTGGGTGTTTATCATGAGTACAGGATGCCACAGAAGTACAGAGAAGGCTCACCTGATCCAGCCTAGGAGGAAGAGAATCCCTCACCTGAGTTTATTAAACTTGATAGAAATATGGAAATGTATTCATTTGAGCCTTTGTAATTTTGTACCTCTTTCCCTTTTCACTTAATTGCATGCTTACAAAGGTAATATATGCTCATTGAAAGAAAAAAATGCAAGAAAGTCTGCCCTACTCTCATCCCTAGGTGATAAACAATGTTAAATAATTTTGGCTGAAATGAACTTTCTCCTTTGAATAGGCATTGATCCAGAAAAACTGGCGAGGGGGGTGTGGGAGACTTGGACATTGTAGAGCAGATGTTGAAGAGCAATGCAGCAAAGGGCACTGAGGCTCTTTGGGAGCTCACGAGCACTTTGGCATGGCTGGCTTGTGCAGGGTTGGCAAGCAGCGGGGCCGGCATGTGGATGGGGGTTGACAGATGAAAGGGATGACTCAGATCATAAAGGGAGCGTAACAGGGCAGTGTTGAGTCAGAGTCTTAGCCTGCCAGCAGTGGGAAGGGATTGAGGCATTTGCTACTAGCAAGTGAAAGATGATTTTCCTCTTGTCTCTGAGTTCTTCCATGATTGATCACACCTGTGTGATTATTAATCTTTCTCATTTCAAGGGTTTCCTGATCCTACTGTCAAAGTTCCCCATTCTTGGCTCCTTTCCAGAATGAGTGGGATCATTTTAAATGTTAATGTTATAGTCCAGTTTTGCTCATGTCCTCTATTACACCAAAGGATATCCCCTATTAACACATGAAACAACTTTTTAATTTCTCAAGTTAGAGTCTCCCAGTTATTTACTATAAATTAGTGTGCTCGAAGCCTGTGTGTTGATTTATTTCACTTAAGAGCTTTAGTGGTTCCTCCCATTTAATACTTAGGGCTATGGGATTTCTTTTTTCATTTTCTTTTTTTTTCTTTCAGATTTTGCAATAGGCTCCTTTGCTTTATAGGGCTTACTTTAAATCCCCCTCTTTAGAGGTAGTTGGTGAGGGCCATTAGTAAAATATGAATTGCAGAAGTTGGAATGATTCTCCAAAGTTTTTCTTGCTAGAAGGGCATCCATTGCTTGCTTAGAATTCTGTGTACCCTGTTTCCTTTAAGAAAGAGTAAAGAACAAAAATGAGAAATAACTCTACATCAGCTCCCTTGGCCTGTTTCTGTTTCCCTTTGAAATTGTCTTTGAAAGAGGTCTTATATCTCTACTAGAGGCCTGGTGCATGAAATTTGTGCACTTAGCGGGGGCAGGGGAGGGCGGGGTTCCTCAGCCCAGATTGCAAGAGGGCACAGGCCAGGCCAAGGGATCCTACTGGTGCATGATCGGGGCAGGGAGGGACACAGGTGGTTGACCAGCCAGGGAGGGATTGCAGGAGGGCTCCAGGGCATGTCTGGCCCATCTCACTCAGTCCTGATCGGCCAGACCCCAGCAGCAAACTAACCTACCAGTCGGATCATCTGCCCCCTTGTGGTCAGTGCACATAATAGTGACTGGTCGACCGGTCGACTGCCTGCCCCCTGGTGGTCATTGCACATCATAGCAAGCAGTTGAGCGGCCTTAGCATATCACTAGCATATTATGCTTTGATTGGTTGAATGGCCAACCAGACAACTGGACACTTAGCATATTAGGCTTTTTAAAAAAATATATATTTTATTGATTTTTTACAGAGAGGAAGGGAGAGGGATAGAGAGTTAGAAACATCGATAAGAGAGAAACATCGATCAGCTGCCTCCTGCACGCCTCCTACTGGGGATGTGCCTGCAACCAAGGTACATGCCCTTGACCGGAATCGAACCTGGGACCCTTCAGTCCACAGGCCGACACTCCATCCACTGAGCCAAACCAGCCAGGGCATAGGCTTTTATTATATAGGATTCCTTTTAAAAATGCTCAGATTCAGTAAGATGGGAAGCCCCCATGTCAATAACTGAAGCAGTGATTTCCATTTCAGCAAAGCCCAGCAGGTGTAAGAATATCATGGAAGAAAAAAGAAACAAGACAGAGACCACTGTGGGAGGGGGTCAGAATGAACCCAAAATTACTACCTAAGTTGAAAAAAGGGACCATGTGAAGTTCAAGAAATGTAACCAGCTTGAATGCTGTGGTTCTGGAGTGGGCTTCCTGCAAATGAGTGGGAATGCAGGTGCTGTTCAGTTGTGCCTTCCACCCAGTGTGAAGAGGCTTGCAGTAGATTTTTTGGTACAACTATTTTCCTCAATGTGCTATGTTTTTGTTGTTGTTGTTGTTGGTTTTTTGTCACTAAGAAAAAGAAAAAAGTTGAGCAGCAATGAATGGAAAACAGAGATACAAAACAAAAAAAAAAACAAAAAAAAATTCTCCCATAGTACCTGGCAAGAATATTCATTATGTCATTTTAGGAAGCTTGCAAGGATGCCAGCCTAACTGGCAGCTGTGTCGGCTACTGTTGAAAGTGGATCTCCTAAAACTGGAGGATGAGCATGGGGCAAAAAAGCAGTGAATGATTTTCAAAATACGTAGCATAGCTTGAATTTTGATAGAGTCTTTTAGGAAGAAAAAAAAATCATATACTGCTAGATAAAAAATACTGACACAGGGGAGCATAGGCTGCCTAAATGTTGAGACACTAATTGTAGCCAATATGCTGCCTCATTCCTGTTTGTAGGGTGTTCCTTTTGTCTGTCTGTGACTAATCTTTTAGGGTGGACTTGCGCATGCGAGTGCGTGGGTGCATACGTGTTTGTCTGCATTTCTATCGCCT